GAAGGAGGAGAGGAGAAGAGGAAGGAGAAAAGGGGAAGAAAAGGACAGTAGAAAGAGAGGAGGAGGTAGAGGAGAAGAAGGAGAAAATGGCAGGAGAAGGGGCAGGAGGAGAGAAGGAGGAGAGAAGGAGATAGGAGAGGAGAAGAAAAGAAAAGAGGAAGGAGAAAAGGGGAAGAAAAGGGGAGAAGGAGAGGAGAAAGAAGAAGAGGAGAAAAGGAGAAAAGGAAGAAGAAAATGGCATGAAAAGGGGCAGGAGAAGAGAGGAGAAGGATGAGAGAAGGAGATAGGAGAGGAGAAAGGAAGGGGAGGAGAAGGGCAATAGAAGAAGGGAAGGAGGGGGGAGTAGGGGAAGGAGAAGAAGAAGAAGAGAGGAGGAGGAGTAGAGAAGGAGATAGGAGAGTAGAAGAAAAGAGGAAGGAGAAAAGAGTAGGAGGGCAGTAGAAGAAGAGAATGAGTAGGGTGAGGAGAACAAGAGGAGTAGAGAAGGAGTAGAGACAGGAGAGAAGACAAAGGAGGAGAAGGAGGAGGAGGAGAAGAGAAGAGAGCTTGCTTTCTCCCCCTCACCTTGTACAGGACGCTGCGGTCGCCCATCACCCGGCCTTGAGAGTGGACGTGTTCGTTGGCCCGCTTCCCTTTCACCGTCACAATGCGCTGCAGATCAGGCGGGATGGTGATGTCCCAGGTCTCTTCCGTTGCCAGGTCCTGTGAGGTGGGGGGGGGGGGGGGGAAATAGCCAGTGGGTCAAAGGCTGGTTCGCGACTTGCCAACACTCCCCTCTGAACTCTCCTGAGTGCTCGCCCCGAAAGAAGCGGGGCCCAGAAAGGCGGCCAGTGCCCCCCCGCCCAACAACTTAGCCTCTGCATTCGTGGGAGCTGGTTATTCCACCCTCACCCAAATGTAACCTGTAACGTAACGTCTCGAATTCCTCACGCTTTACAAAATCGACTACACATTTCCAAACAGCGTCTCACCTCTCCTGCAGAAGGTGCTGCATGAGTTGCCAATTTGCTTCCGGGTGCAATTCAAGGTGCTGGTTGTCCCCTTTAAAGCCCTTCATGGCTTGGGACCAGGTGATCTGAGGGACCGTCTCTTGCCGGTCACATCCACCCGACCCATCAGAGCAGGGAGGCAGGGAACATTGGGGGTCCCACCCCTGAGGGATACACACCTGGTGGGACCCAGAAGCAGGGCCTCCTCCGTGGTGGCTCCCTCTCTCTCTGAAACCTCATCCCCGCCCCGCCCCCCAGAGATTAGAACGGCCCCCACTCTAGCTCTCTTCCGGAAGGCCCTGAAGAAGAAGACCTGGTCCTGCCAGCGGGCCTGGGGAACCCAGAGAGGGATGGAGCCCATGAAATGGCTCGTGTGATCTGCTGTCATTGGGGCGGGGGGTGGGAATTGGGAGGTGATATTTTATTTATTTATTTTCCAGATTTTGTTCTATTGTACTTTATCAATTGATTTGATTCATTGTCAGTTTCTATTATTTTTAATTTAATTTTTTTGTTTTAAATATGGTTTTACATTGTGTAAGCCGCCTCGAGTCGCCTTGGACAAATAGGCGGCAATGTAAATTAAATTAAATAAATTATGTGCTCCATATTTACTTACCATGTATTTTATGCCATATGCCAGCTAAGCAGCTTAAATAAATAAATGCTAGCCACGTGCTAGCTAATTAGGATGGCTGGATGCATGATGGCTGGATGGATAGATGGCTGGATGGATAGATAATTAGATGTGTATATGACAGAAATGATAGAGACTAACAAATTAAATAGATGCGTATGTGAGAGAGATGCTAGATGGATGGATGGATAGTTGGATGGATAATTAGATGTGTGTGTAATAAATGATATAGACAGACAAATAGATACATGTGTGAGAGATGGATAGGATGGATAGGATAGGATAGATGGATAGGATAGGATAAGGATAGCATAAGGGTGGGATAAGGATGCGATAAGGATAGGATAGATATGATAAATGATGGATGGATAATTAGATGTGTGTGTGACATAGATGACATAGACAGGCAAATTGAATAGATTTGTGTGTGTGAGAGATGATAGGTAGGTAAGTAGGTAGATAGGTTGATAATACAGTACATAGATAGACAGATGATAGATAGATAATAGATATATATATATAGATAGATGATACATAGATGATAGACAGATGATAGAAAGAATAGAGATAATAGACAGATGATAGATATATAGATGATACATAGGTGATAGACAGATGATAGATAAGACTATAGATAATAGATAGCTAGACAGATAGATGATAGATATATAGATGATACATAGATGATAGAAAGAATAAAGATAATAGATAGTTAGACAGATAGATGATAGATATATAGATGATACATAGATGATAGACAGATGATAGACTATAGATAATAGATAGTTAGACAGATAGATGATAGATAGATATACAGATGATACATAGATGATAGACAGATGATAGAAAGAATAAAGATAAT